CACCGGCCTTATATAGCCCCTCTTTTACTGAAACATGGGCGGGGGTTACTCCTAACTTTTTGATATTATAAATAGGACTAGATTAACACCTATTCTGCTCTCCTGTCCGGCGAGCAGTTTGGCGTATGGCTCTGGGGGAGAGCGCAGGTCGTGTTGATCCCCAGGGCAAGTCTGAGGAGTTCTCCTTCACGTGGTTACCGCCTGTTGTTTGGTCTGGTTCAAAAGGAAACAGACAGAATAGAAACACTCGGACGATCCCACTTTTGTTTTCTTTTATCCCATCCCCTTTTCCTATCCTAAAACAATCCAAGGTGTCAAGCGTACCGTGCCGATGGATGCGTGGCTGGAATGAGTCCAGCCGCAAACGATGCCTACCGATACCGATTCGTGTAGTATTTTAGTCCTTCCCTCGGCATGCGGGGCTCTGCCGGGGGTGACCGAATATTTCCCTAGCTAATCGTGGGAACAAAATGGACGAAAACCGACATTTTGGAAAAGATACTGAGAAATCTCCTTTAATGGAACTAGCTGTAGGTTTGGAAGAGGCTCTTTTAGCCTCACCAACACCCTGCAACATTGCGCCCCAACCTGGGACGAGCCGTGAAGTGGAGGGCACGTCTGCAGCCGAACCACAATCGGAAACGATCCAGGGAGTGGATAAGAAAAAGTTCGCTAGGCCCTATAAGCTTAGTGGGGCAGCAAGGAAAAGGTACCGAAGTCTGATAGCAGCTGAGATAGGAGCCGAAGAGGCCCTCTCTCTCTGCCAGAAGCCCGGGGACGAAATTCCTCTGCCGAAGCCTCCCTCAGTTCCGAAGGCAAAAAAACGTAGTCGGTCTGAGGAAGAGTTCCCCAAAGATCAGCCCAGGAAGTCTGTGAAGCTGGCAACGGGGGAGAAGAAGCTCAGGTTCAGTGCCAGCTATGGCTTCTTCTCCACGCGTATAGGAATTCGCAATTCGATACTATGAGTGTGGAGCAGATGCGGCTGGTCCACCAGGCACTATCACAGGCCACCGCTAAGACGGCCTGTGGGGCGCAACTGGGAATGGGTCCAAAATTTTCGGGTTTCACCCACAAGTCAGGTTGGATTTTGGTAACGTGCCTGAATAAGGCAAGCCAGGACTAGATTGTGGGTGAAATCGGAAAACTGAAGCCCTGGCCGAAGGCAGAGGTCTCGGTAATACCCGAGGGCGAACTGCCTAAGCCTCAGCTGGGCATTACCTACTTACCCCGTAGCGAAGCTGACTCTCCAGAGGAGGCGACTGTGTTGTTGAGGGCACAAAATGAAGGGCTCCATACTGAGCTCTGGAGAATCCTCACCGTAGGGACGAGAAGAATGGTTTCTTAGTAACCTTTTCTCTCGGCGACCCATCGGCAGAGGCTCTTCGGAAGGCAGACGGCAGAGTCGTCCTTGGCTTTAAGATGGTAACTTTTAAAATCGGGGGAGGCTCTGACTCGGCAATAGAGCCCGAACCGCTCCATCTCCAATCCCCTCAGCCCTCAACCTCTCGAGGAGAGGCTGGAACGCCACCGGTGAGAGTGACGAAGACCCAAGGCGCAGATTTCGCCTCGGTCTGACGGCCTCCGCTGGTGTCGTCCAGGCCTGGGGGGAGGGGAGGTGGGAGCGGTTTGACGAAAGGTAAGGCGAGGGTCAAGTGCGCAGTACACATTTACACATATTCTATTAGCGTACTTAACTATAATTCTAACAACATATTATTTTATAGAGTTTCCATATAATATTATTAAGATATTGCCATTTTAATGACACGCGCCACGTAGGCAATAAATCACTTGTTTAGGGTTGAACCATTTGGGCCGGGACAGTTGAGAGGATAGATCTCAAGGCATGCACAGCGGCCAGATTAATCATTTGCTCAGCCTATATTCTCGGAGAGAACGCAGATCCTACCATCGAGTTAGAGCGAGTGGCGGAGTTCGCCCGAAAACACAACGCCGTACTTGTGGTGGGTTGTGATGCTAATGCTCACCATACAGCCTGGGGGAGCACCAACGTGAACGAAAAAGGTGAGTTACTTTATGATTTTCTCATCTCCAACCGCCTGGTAAGCCTAAACTTAGGTTGTCCACCAACCTTTGTAACGCGTGCTAGGCAAGAAGTGTTAGACATAATCTTTGCTACCAATGACATGTCCAGGCGGATAAATGACTGGCTTGTTAGTAGCGAATACTCATTAAGTTTGTGATTGGAGCATCACCAACCTATGAAACCGTTACTTTTAGGGATCCAAAAGCGACCTCCTGGGATATCTACAGAGATAGCCTAAGGAAGAATTTGGAAATTTTCCTAAAAGCATCAAAACAATTGAAGGTCTGGAGTTAGCGACGGAGACAATAACCGTAGGTATACGTGAAGCCTTCGTGGACAGTTGTTCCTTCAAAACCAAGACCTCAACACGAAAAGTTCCATGGTGGAATACTAAGCTAAAAGAACTTAGGGAAAAGACCAGGTAACTATTTAATAGGGCTAAGAAAACCAAAGAGTGGTATATTTGTAGTGCAGCCATAACTGAATATAATTTAGAAATTAGGAAGCCAAGAGAGCATCGTGGAGGAAGCTATGCGAGGAAGTTGAGTCTTTGCCTCGCAGTGCAAGACTACACAAAATGCTATCGAAAGCTAAACCTAATCAGATCGGGCTTCTTAAAAAGCCAGATGGTAACATCACTAATAGTGAAACAGAAACATTGGAGTTACTAGCGTCAACCCATTTCCCAGGGTCACACAAGACTTCAGCCCTTCTAAGGCCTTGTAATGAGGACTGGTGTAGGGCTGCAAATGTAATAAGGCCAAACCTGGTGCAGTGGGCTGTTGACTCCTTTAAACCATTTAAATCAAGCGGGGAGGATGGAATAATTCCCATCCAACTACAGAGGGGTGTTGACATCATTCTTCCTTATCTGGTGAAAATCTTCAGAGCAAGTTTTGCATGGGGATTTATTTCAGAACTATGGCCAATTGTCAAGGTTGTATTTATACCTAAGGCTGGTAGAAAGGACTACGCTTTACCAAATTCCTTTAGACCTATAAGCCTATCTTCCTTTCTCCTTAAGATATTGGAAAATGTTATATATATATATATTTTTTTTTTTTTTTTTTAATGTGGTATGCAAGATGATGTTGTGACCAGGATTAAGAAAGGAATGCTTCGGTGGTTTGGTCATGTAGAAAGAATGAATGAGGAAAGAGTGACAAAGCAAATTTATATGGCAGATGTGAACGGCCGAGTCGGGAAGGGACGCCCTAGAAAAAAGTTTATCGACCAAATTGGCGATATTTTGAAAAGGGGCCACGTTAGAAGTACCCTTAACCGACGAGCATGTACGCGTAGATATATGGATGTAAAGGAGGCGAAAGAGGTATGTCAGGATCGTGCCACATGGAAGTCCGTAGTCTCTGCCTACCCCTCTGGGTGACAGGCGTGAGTGTTTATATATATATATATATATATATATAGGGATGTAGCTCTAACTACAAGGCTCATGCATTACAACCAGCATGCTTATCGCAGAGGCAAATCTACGGAAACAGCCCTGATCAGTGTCATTGACAGGTTTGAAAAAGCACTGGAGGATAAAGAAATAGCTCTTTGTGCCTTTCTAGATATTGAAGGCGCCTTCGACAGTAGCCCCACATCACTGATGATTGGGGGCCTGACATCTAAAAATGTTGATCCCACAACCATCAGATGGGTGAAGTCGATGTAAACAGAAAGGCAAAAATAGCGCTGTTTCAAACTTCGATTGAGGTTGCAACCACAAGAGGCTGCCCACAAGGAGGTGTTTTGTCATGCCTTCTTTGGACTCTTGCGTTTGACCAACTATTGTACAAAATGGCAGACCTACGCAATGACACACTGGGTTATGCTGATGACCTTGTGGTCATTGCGAAGGGCTTTTACCAAAGTACTTTATCGTCAATAATACAAAGAGCCCTAAACACCATAAATAACTGGTGTAGGGATAACAGTTTATCAGTTAATTCTGATAAAACTGTTATAATACCCTTTACCAAAAAGAGACGGTTGGGAAAATCAGTCCAACCAAAACTTAATGGTAAAGAAGTACCATTTTCCACGGAAGTTAAGTACTTGGGCGTAACAATCGGCCAAAAACTAAAGTGGAACTCCTTAGCAACTCATGCCGTAAGGCAAAAATTGCTTTATGTACGTGCAGTCGTTTGGTCGGGAATAACTGAGGCTTGCGTCTGAGTATGGTCATATCGCTGGCTATATACAGTAGCATAGTGAGGCCGATTTTTTTTTGATCTTTATCTAGGCAAGGAGGCGCGGGCTAGTTTGTATAGGATTAACGCCCAGGGCGGTCTGAGCTTGCTCTCCTACTGATTGAAATCCATGCTCATCTCAATTAAGGAATCTCCTGTCTTATGCATGATGCGTATCATGCGACCACTACACACTTTTGATAAAAAGTATATAGTGGAATTACCCTCCAGAGAAGACTGGCTGAATGGCCAGGTTATCTGTGAGGTCGGTAGCCTCATATGGTATACCGATGGGTCTAAAATGGGCCTCGACATAGGCTTTGGGATTTATCTTCCAGGCAGAAATTTTCGTCATACTTCGGTGTGCGGAAATCAATCTGCAAGAATACTACGTCAACCATATAACTTATATTAACTCTGATAGTCAAGCAGCACTGCTAGCGCTGAGGTCAAACTTAGTGAACTCGAAGCTAGTTGGAGACTGCGTGAACCATTTAAACGCCCTGGGATGTAACAACAGGGTTGTTTTAAGATGGGGTAAAAAGGCGTAGGGAAGTGACGACCTCATCGCCCGCTGACGTAACAGTTATGTGACAAAACTGCGACGTCGGCGCAGTCAGTCAGCATCCTGCCAAGAGGTGTGAGCGCCGTGCCTTGGCAAAATTGTAGATGCAAAGGTCCGTTTGTGCATATGACCCAACCACGAAACGGTGCCGGGCTTGGGCGTCTCCCGTTATTTGGCGCCCATAAAATGGATGATGGCACAGAAAGGAACGCGCATAGGACCGCTGCCTGGGGGTCGCCGGGGCGCGTCTGGAGCTGGCGCTGGACGCGGCAGCATGCGGGCCGCCAGCCGCGCGCAAGGAGCTGCACGATCACCTAGCAGCCCCTCGCATCCATCATCCCCACCAGAAGGCTTGGTGTCGGCTGGGTCTTCTCGGACCCAGCAAGCGGCACCCGCCGCTGGTGGAGCACGTCGCATGCGTTGGCCAAAGTCCATGAACGAAAACGCATTGCGGGCGTACTATAGGGCGAAAGGGGAAGAAACTGTGGGAATAGCGTATAGGTCTCGGATGCATTGCTTTTTTGCTGAGCTGGAGCCGTCTATCTCCGTCACGGAACAAAACCTGGCAGACCGAGTTCGGTACATCATGCGCTCGAAAATATTTGATGATGCCGAACTCGAACGACTACGACGTGAGGCTATTCCGTCGTCGAATGAATCAGCTATGGCTGGAGATGCAGCTCCACATTCGACAGACCAGCATCCACACGTGGAAGCCGCCATGGATCTTCCAGTTGTGGTTGATTCGAACGACGATGAAATAGTCTCCCACGAACTAGAACAAATGAGGAGTATATTGGAAGAGGCGATTTTGGAAACGCGCAGCACCCCTCTCGAAAATCGACCGCGACTTCCCCACATACCCCTAAGCAAGCGAAATCGGGCTGTCGTGAGGGCTCTTAACCCAATGCTGGTGACCTATTTGGAAGACAGCCGGGACCTTTGCGAGACGGACTCGATTCTCTTTGGCGCCGCAGTGGCAGTTTGCCGTATTATTGGCGCCAAACTTCCCATGATTGGACGCGCTACTACACAAAGTAGCGCTATCCCAGCATGGAGAAGAAGAATTGAGGAACGTATCGCAAAGGCTAGAGCTCTCATCGGCAGACTGATATGCTTCAGATCAGGCAACAACAGGCCAAGAATTGTGCGCACCGTCAGGATGGCGTTTGCTTGGACAAATGTCAGTTTGTCCCAGCCGGATATAACGCAAAAACTGACGGAGCGCATAGATGATCTGAAGCAGAGAATCGCTGCTTGGGGAAAGCGGATTCGGCGATATACCGAGAGGTCGACACGGTTCAACCAGAATCGTCTCTTCCAGAGTGATCAGAAGAGGCTCTATGAATCATTGGAGTGACCAATGGTAAGTGGAACGGGTCCAGCACCGAATCAGGCCGACACTGTAGCATTCTGGCGCGGCCTGTGGTCAGAGCCCGTAAACCACAGCGAGGGCCCTTGGACGGAAGTTGTGGCGAGTCAGTGTGCGGGTATTATGCCCATGGACCCCGTCATCATAACGCCGGATGACGTAGCTGAGGCGATCCGTAGGGCCCCGAAATGGAAAAGTCCGGGACTCGACGGGCTGCATCACTACTGGCTGAAGGGGTTCATGGTGTGTCACTCTGTGCTCGCCCGACAGTTTCAAGAGGCTCTCAACCAGAAGTCGCTCCCAAGCCTCTTCACTACTGGGATCACTCATTTGGTTCCTAAAGACCAGGGTACCACAGACCCGAGCAAATACCGCCCCATCACGTGTCTACCGACCATATACAAGACACTAACATCCATTTTGAGCGCGAGAATCACTTGTCACCTGGACTCAAATCAGGTGATGTCGCGCGCTCAAAATGGATGTCGGGGCGGTGGTCGTGGAACCAAGGAACCACTCCTCATTGACGCGGTCATTGGCAAAGTGGTGAAACGCAACCGTCGGAACTTCTCCGCCGCCTGGATAGACTACAGAAAGGCATTCGACTCGGTGCCCCATACATGGCTAAAGAGAGTCCTCGAGCTGTACAAGATAGACTGTACAGTTAGAGACTTCCTCGAGCAGTGTATGGGGCATTTTCTGTGAATGTGGAGTACGATCCTTTGTCATCTGGGCGAGCGGATGATGGCTGCGGAGAACCACATAAGGATAAGAAGGGGTATCTTCCAGGGCGATTGTCTGAGTCCAATCTGGTTCTGCCTCTCTTTGAACCCTCTCAGTACATTACTGGAGGGCTCCGAGGGGATTTCAGCTACGGAAAGGAGGGAAAAAAGTGAACCACCTTTTCTATATGGATGACCTCAAGTTATTCGCCTCCAGTCGTTTCCATCTTATGGAATTGCTAAATATCACTTGTGAATTTAGCAATTCCATTGGAATGGAGCTGGGGACGGATAAGTGTGCGGTCCTCCATGTTGAAAGGGGAGGGGTTGCTAACTCTGAGGGCATAGACTTATCTATGCCCGTCAACTTAAGGACCCTTTCCGAGGCTGAAACATACCGATACCTGGGTATGTCACAGAACATCGGTATCGATGAGGCTGGTATGAAACAGTCAGTTTGCGACGTGTTTTATGCACGCTTGACCAAAGTGCTTAACAGCCTTTTGTTCGGTGTGAATAAGACACATGCATATAACGGTTGGGTCATGCCTGTCCTCATGTATACCTTTGGCATACTCAGGTGGAGTCAGACTGAACTTAACGCCCTGGATAGAAAAATCCGCACTACAATGACGTCCCATAGGATGCATCATCCGAGATCGTCGGTAATGAGGCTGTACTTGCCGCGAAAGCATGGTGGGCGTGGCTTTTTGAGCGCGCTCACCATGCATAATCGCGAAGTGTGCAGCCTCAGTAATTACTTCCTGGCGAGATCGGATGATCCATTCTATAAGAACGTCATTTCTTGTGATTAAGGACTTACCCCTCTATCCTTAGCCAACGAGCAATGGCAAGACCCGGCAGTGCAGAGCATTTCCGACCGGGAGACCGTGTCGAAGGAGAAGGAGCGCCACGGGAGGTTCTACAAGGCTGTTCATTAGCCTTTCGTAGACATAGTAGCCTCCCTCCACTGGCTACGCTTTGGTGACCTCTTCGGGGAAACCGAGGGTTTTGTCTGTGCGATACAGGGTCAGGTTATTAAGACCAACAACTATCGAAGATGCATCCTAAAGGATGGCACCGTCGACATCTGTCGAGCTTGTCGCCATCCCTGTTGTTCTGCGCTTTCTAACTCTGAGTACTTGCACAGACACAACCTAGGAGCCAAAATTCTTCACCAGGAGCTCGCTCTGAAATACGGTCCTGTGGATCGGAAATTGCCATATTACAAGTACTTGCCGGAAGCCGTGCTCTAAAATGATCGCGCCAGGCTCTACTGGGACTGGGCCATCAGCACAGACAGGACTATTCTTGCGAATGAGCCTGATATTTTGCTGATGGACCGGGTACAGTCAAGGATATTTTTGGTCGACATTACCATTCCGTATGACGAGAACCTCGTGAAAGCCGAAACAGATATGCGAACAAAATATCTGGACCTGGCTCACGAGGTGACCGACATGTGAGGTGGTCTGCCGACCGAATTATTCCTGTAGTCGTCTCTGCTAACGGGCTCATCCCAGTCAGCCTCTGAGACGGCTGGGACTACGTGGCGAACCGCTCTAGGCTCAAATGCAAAAGGCGGTGCTCCTCGATACCGCTCGCATCATCCGCCGGTTTCTTTCCCTTTCCCCCTAACCCTCGGCCGTTTGGTCTCCCCTGCCAAGGGCCTCCATCTGGTTGGGCTTTTATTTATTTATGTATTTTTATATTTATTTTATTTTATTGATATTTATGTATCTTTTCATTTTCATTTATAATTATATATATAAGCTGCAGCACGTGTCTGCAAAAAGAAGTGTTTTTGCTGTCTACCAGGTAAAGTATTGGATTGTCACCCATGCGGACTAAGATGAAATGCCTTGTTTATAATAAAAAGTGTCTCTTGTTAGAGAAGTAGAGGCACTTTTTATTCACCATACGAAACACGCATACAGTATTGTATTATTGACATAGACCGAATGATACTCGTACTTTAAGTTAAGGAGTGACTACAATCTGATAGGTTGTAAAACCTTTAACCGGGACGACTATAGTCTCATGGGACCACTTGTAAGACTATTGTGGCATATAAGTATTACCGTTATTTTTGGGGGAAAGGGGAATATTAGATGAATATAATACTACTATTCTTTATTTAGAATAAATTTGATTATTAGGTTGTAGCTTTTATAAAAACTCTATAAAATTCTTAAAATCTTCTTGTTTGCTATTACCAATTGAACAATTATTTTAGACCACCCTTTTCTTTTACTAAGCCCTAGTCTGGAATGGTTGGGGAAATATATCAACATGGGTTCAGTCAATAGCCCCAAGAATGATAGGAATCCTCTAGCTACATTTTGCGTCTGAATCTCACACTACAGATAGTCTTCGAATGGGGCGATGCCAATCTCGTGAGATTCAACGCCTCCAAAACACAAGCGTGTCTTTTCACCGCTAAAAGGAACCCGCTTACCCCGGCTCCTACTTTCCGGAATGTATCCTTGGAGTACACTGACCGCCTTCAGTTGTTAGGGGTTGAATTTTTTCCGAACCTCAACTATGCTGCTGTCACATATGGGCTGGTGCTGCAAAATGCCATCTGGCAGCGTTGGACTCAGTGTAGAGACGTGCTAAGAGGCTCATTGGTGACCTTAATTTGGTTGAAACCAACCTTGTCAGCCTCGAGCACAGGCGCAGAGTAGCCAGTCTCTCGGTATTTTATAAGAGGCATTTCGGAGAGTGCACAGGAATTGCACGCTTTAGTTCCTCCCTCTCCTTTCCACCATCGGGCGACCAGATGGTCGACGGGTCTTCACCCCTTTGTCGTCGATATTCCACGCATTAGAACCAAACGGTTTACTTCGACATTTCTAATGCGTACAGCAAAGGAGTGGAGTAATTTGCCGGCATCTATCTTTCCGTCCGAACACAATCGGGGCCCCATGCTACGAACGGGGGCATATATGTCTACTCGTTATGTCAAACGGTGACATACTTCTCCTTTCCCCTGTTGCCGTGGTCTGGCATAGGGATAAGATAATTTTATCTTCTGTCAGTGGATACAATCGGGGATAAAATTTTTGTCTCCTGCCCATGCTAGCTCCTCAGTTGCTCTCTCTTTTCTCTCACTCTCATATTCCGATGGCACAACAATCCGACACGACCGCAAAGAGATCAGGCATTGGGGGTGAAATACCGCTAAATTCTTGATTCCGGGCTGTCAGTGAGAATTTCTTAACAGAATAGATTTTCGCCACGAAATGGGATTGACACTTTTACGACTACTGGACCAACGAGACGCTAAAAAAATTGTTCATGTGCGCAGACATTTAATACAAAAAATAAATCTCTTTTAAACTATTATTGATGAGAGTTATAATTTGGCTAGTAAATGTTTTATTTTAAATTTTTCTTCATGCTTTTTTGTTTTATATCTATCCACATGGGTTATAGGTTCTTTGCAGAGAAGGATTGCTGATTTTTTTTAAGTTTTGAATTTTTTATGAATTATGGGCACTCAGTACAGAATAGGTATAGTGCCCAAGTGTTTAGCAGTATAGGAGACAACTGAGTGTAATCTGTGTCTTGCCTTTGTGGATTATGAAAAAAGCATCTATTTAATCCCATCGGCACTTATCGTTTGCTAGAAGCGATAGCAGATTGACAGGCCACACAAACGTATCTCCGTTTAAGTGCAAGGCGGTCTAACAAGACCTAATTCGGGTTTATCGTGGAGTCCGGTAGGGGATTGCTATATTCCCGAAACTGTTCACAAATGCACTGGAAGACGTTTTTATTACGCTTAACTGGAAAGGACTTGAAGAAACTTAAATAAATCATATGTATGCTGAACAGTCTGAATGAATACTTCCGACATACCTTTTGGACTGTCAATTTGAACAAGACTATGGTCATGTTGTCTAAAAATATATCTACCTGGGGCAGATAATAAGATAGAAATAACTTCTCTTCTGTCACGATTAGTTTCATTATATACGAAGTGCATCTAAATACCATTTTTATTATATAAACTATTTATTTTGTTATTCAACTAATTACGTGATTTTAAATTAAAGAATTCTAAGCCGTCGTAAGTTAGTGGACTAGTTACAATATTTCTTCATAAATGATTTTTCATGTTATTTAGTTTCTGCTATGCAGAACGAGTCATGAGGGAAGCGGAAATTATTTTCTTTGTATTTAGAAACCTGGCATTAATAGCAATGGCTTAACGTGAGCATTAGGCGTTAAAAGTTTGACGGTTCGGTGGCAGAGTGGCTT